TAGAGAGAGAAGAGAGAGAGAAGTAGAGAGAAGAGGTAGAGAAGAGAGAGCGGAGAGAGAGAGACAGAGAGAGAGAAGAGAGAGAGAGAGAGAGAAAGGAGAGGAGAGAGAGAGAAGAGAGAGAGAGAATAGAGAGAAGAGAGAGAGAGAGAAAGAGAGAGAGAGAGAGAGAGAAGAGTGAGAGAGAGAGGAGAGAAGAAGAGGAGAGAGAGAAGCGAGAGAGAGAGAAGAAGAAGAGAGAGAGAGAGAGGAGAGAAGAGGAGAGAGAGAGAGAGAGAGAGAGAGAGAGAGAAGAGAGCAGAGAGAGAAAGAGGAAGAAAGAGAGAGAGAGAGAGAGAGATAGAGAGAGAAGAGAGAGAGAGAGAGAGAGAAGAGAAAGAAAAAAGAGAGAAAGAGAGAGAGGTCGCATCTCCTAGAAGCCAAACCTTCGAAGCACTGCAGCAATATACACAAGCGTAAACCCAAGCCTTTTTCCGTCATGTTCCAGTCCGGGCAATTTAGGCTTCGCTTGACAGTTTGTTTTAGTGAAGGTTCTGTCTGTATTTCTGCGCGGTATCGGGGAGGTACGAGCAACACCTGCGATAGCGAATATAGGAAAAAGCGTGATAGAAAAGTAAATTTAAGAGCAAAACACATGTACATATCTACGAGCACGCACATTCTATCTGACACAGGACGTACACACACGTACACGAGCGCCTCACTGAACCAGGTGCTATACGTTACAGATTTCCAACCCAAGACGTACTTGAAGTGACGCATAAACAATGGCAAGGGCGCCACACCTGGATCAGTGCATCGCGTAGAATCAGTGGACAGACACACACTTGCACATCACACAGCACACACACGCACACACACACACACAACACAACACACACACACACACACACACAGCACACTCCTCACACACACACGCACGCACACAGCTCTCTCTCTCTCTCTCACACACACACAGACACGCACACATCACGTTCTTTCTCTCGCTCTCTGTGTCTCTCTCTTTCTCTTTCTCTCTTTGTCTGTCGTCTGTTTCTCTCTCTCTCTCCTCTCTGTCGGTCTGTCTTCTCTTCCCTCTCTGTCTCTCTCTCTCTCTTTTTCTCTCTCTCTCTTCTCTCTCTCTCTCTCTCTCTCTCTCTCTCTCTCTTTCTCTCAAGGCAATTCTAATACTCATAAAACCTGGAAAAGAGATTAATGAGACGCACCAGTAACCACCGAAGGCACTTGGACAGGTCCTGAGGCACCAGCACTCCTCGCGGGCCATAGAGCTGACATTAGAGAGTCAACAGCGGTCAAAGATGGAACTAAGGTAGGCTGGATCAGGGGCGCCGTTATGGATGCACTGGCACGCCTCCAGTGTGGCGGGGGCGCTGGGGAGTAACCGCTGGGGTGTTTTGTTTTATTTTGCTGTGGAAATGGCATGTTTTTCTTTGATTTATTCTGTAGTGCTATAAATCATGTTTTTGGGTTCTGCATTTTACCGTGTGATAGCAAAACATGTTACATTTTTTCTGTGTTACAATGGAATCCCAAGGTGCATTTTATTTTTCGTGTCTTTTACTAAGTAGTGCCATAAAAAAAAATTTTCCTCTCTGTGACGATAAACACAACATTAAACTTCGGAAGGCTGTATCGCAAAATTTTCTCTCTTCCTTTTTCCTTTTCTTTTGTTAGTATTGCAGAGAATTAACGTTTGTATGATTTTCTAGACGATATAGAGTTTCATTGTTTTCATCTAACGAAAAAGGCCGATCCTGTCGACAAAGTGAAGTTCAGAAAAAAAAAAAAAATGGAATCCTTTGACTTATTCACAGCTGCACGTGCGAGTCGAACAGAAAATTTCGGCCACAAAGATGCAAAACATGACTCTTTATGCCATGACACGATGTAATCTTGTCACTGGCAAAACGTATGGAAAATCCCCAGTCCTGAAAAGCTAAATATTCCTTATACATTACTGTGATCTTGTCTTTTTCGAATCCACGAGGATAATACAAGTAAATTCCAAGAGTTTAATCCCTCATAAACATTTATTTCTCTCCTTTATTTTATTTATTTTATTCTATTTATTTTATTTTATTTTATTTTATTTATTTTCTCCTTCGCGTAGACTTCTCGAATTCGCCGGAGAATGATTCGCTCCGACAAATTCCCGAAAGCCACAGGATGTCGGGTTTCCACGCGCACCCGACCTTCCCGCCCCGACCTTCCGCCGAACTCGTGCGTCGCGGGTTTCGGGGTTTTCCGATATATTTATTTTTATTTTTTATTTTATTCTTTATTTCTATTTTTATTTTATTTTTTATTTAAATTTATTTTTTTATTTATATTTTTGTTATTTTTTTAATACGGAAGTACAACGATTCGAGGAAAAATTATTTTTTATATTCACTGGCATTGGTTATTGATTTGTGATATATATATATAATATATATATATTATATATATATATATATATATATATATTATATTTGTGTGTGTGTGTGTGTTATGTGTGATGATGCTATTGACAATTAATAATAATCGTAACAATAGTTGTAAAAGTAGTCGCAAAAATGGAAGCCGAATCGATGCTAGTTACGATTTTACGATTACTCTTACGATTAGGATAAAAAAGATTGTTGTAATGTTTGGAAAATAATAAGAATAAGAGCAACAATGCCAAAATTCGTAATGATAATAATTATAATAAAAAAAGAAGAATGATACAAATTATACTGATAATACCTTCAACATGAAACACCATAATAATAATATTTGTACAACAACAGCTTTAAAAGGGATAATAATAGTAATAACACTTCTAATACAAATGGCAAAGACGATAATGATGCAGTAATGGTAGTAATAGCAGTTGTTAATTTTGCAAAACTAATAATAATAATAATATAATAATGATAATGATAATAATGATAATAATAATAATGATAATAATGATAATGATAATAATAGTAATAATAATAATGATAATAATGATAATGATAATAATGATAATAATAATAATGATGATAATAATAATGATAATAATAATGATGATAATAATAATGATGATAATAATAATAATGATAATGATAATGATAATAATGATAATAATAATAATAATAATAATGATAATAACAATATGATAATATAATAATAATGATAATAATAATAATATAATGATAATGATGATAATAATAATAACAATAATAATAATAGTAATAATAACAATAATTATATTAATAATAGTAATAGTAATAATGATAAAGGTGGTAATGATAATAATAACACATAATGATAGCAATAATAATATAATAATAATGATGATAATGATAATAGCAATAATAATGATACTATTACTACTACTACTAATAGTAACAATAGTAATAATAATAACAATATTATTAATAACGATAGTAATAAAAAATGATGATAATAGTAATAATAATAATGATGACATAAATTTTTGATAATAACAATGATGATGATGAAAATAATAATAATGATAATAATGATAGTAATGATAATAATAAGAGCAATGGTAACAACAGTAATGAGGTTGTTAATGAAAATCATGATAATGATAGTAATGATTATGACAGTAGTAAAATGATGATAACATTAATAATACTAATGGTAATAACAACAATAGTAATAATAATAGTAATGATATTAATAATGCTACTTTAAATAATGATAGTAATTGATAATAATAATAATAATATCAATGATAAGGGTAAGATAGGAATAAAAATAACCAGCAATAATGATGAAAATAATGATGATAGTAATGATAATAATAATGCTATCATGATAACAACAACGATGATGATAATGATACTGATAGTAATGATAATGATAATGATAAAAACAATTTCAATAATGAGAATAATAATTGTGATAATAATAATAATAAGAAGAATGATAACGATAGAGATGATAATTATAATGATTACGGTAATGATGGCAATGATGATAATAATAATAACATGAAAATAATGATAATGATGGTGATAATATAAAAAAATGATGATAATGATAATAATAATAATTATAATGATGATGGTAATGATAATACTAATACTAATACCACTACCAATACTACGACTAAAAATAATGATAATAATGATTATGATGATAATAACAGTAGTAGTAATAACAATAATGGTAACGATAATAATAATAATAATAATAATGATAATAACAATAATAATAACAATAATAATGTTAATGATGATGATGATAATATAATAGAAATAATAATAATAATAATAATAGTAACGTAATGATGGTAATTGATAACAATAATGATAATAATTATAATTATAATAAAAGTAAAAACGATAATGATTATGATGATAATAATAATAGTAAAAGTAATAATGATACTACTACTACTACTACTACTACTACTAATAATGATAATTACAATAACAGTGTTAATAATGATGATAATAGTAATAATAATAATAATAGTAATAATAATAATTAACAATGATGATAATGATAAAAATGATGATAACAATAATAATAATGATAACGATGATAGCAAATAACAACAATAATAAAGATAATAATAATGGTAATGATAATAGTAATGATAATGATAATAACAGTGATAATAATAAAAGTAGTAATGATGATAACAACAGATAATAATAATGATAATAATTAAAATAATAGTAATAATAACAATAATAATAATGATAATAAAAAAAATGATGGTCATGATAATAGTGATATTGGAAATGATGACAATGATTTTGATGAAAATACAAGTAACAAAAAATGATTATGAATAACGATAATTTATCTTTATTAAGAATCACTCATTTTATTTAGAATTAAGAACATAACTCCTTTTCTGTTACTTTCACTAGCAATGCTGACTCTACCAACATTGTCACATGACAGAGAAGAACAAAGAAAATAACACCAAAAGACAAGGATAACAATAACACAAATCCTTGTCTCCTTAGCCTGTGGGTGAGTCCTGCGTTCTCCTGAAGGACACGGAAGGAAGCAAGCGTGTCACTTCTCATAAAAGGTCCAGGACACATTCCCGTCGCCAGTGCTGTGTCCCGCTTCCTCCCTGCAACCTGTTCTGCAACGTCCGGAACTTCTGCAACTTCTGCGACACCTCAAGCCTTTTGGAACTTCTGCCATATCTGAAGGCTCTGCAGCGTTTGCGATCTCTGCAACCATGGTCTGCGTCGGGTGCTTTCACTGAGATCGACTTAATCGTGATAATATATATAGTTTTGCTAAGGAGAATCGCGGAGTGAGATCCGGAATCGTTGAAGCATGTGAACAAAAAATCTTGTTTCCTGCAATATTGATGTGGAATTCATGTTGAACAGATTGCAACAGGAACAACGAAGGGAAGGGCAAGAAAACACACGAATATGCCGAAGGCCTTTTCACTATTGCTTCGTCAGGGAATATGCTACATGAGATACATAAGAGGAGTATATATACAACTACTGGGTGATCAGGTGACGTGACCTGATCACCCAGTAGTTGTATATATACTCCTCTATGTACCTCATGTAGCATATGCCCTGACGAAGCAATAGTGAAAAGGCCTTCGGCATATTCGTGTGTTTTCTTGCCCTTCCCTTCGTTGTTCCTGTTGCAGTATTGATGTTATGGATGCGAGCATCTCCAGCAAAACAAATATATTCCTTTTGCATTTTGTAGTGGTCGCCTAAGACGGTCGCCGCAGCGCTCGTCCTGCAGATGCTGTGCGCCTGCCACGGGAGCGCCGGTCATTACGGAGGTAGGCGACTCACCTTCGCTATTTCAAGATTTCACGCAAAGAAAAAAAAAAAAAAAACATTTTCTTTGGCTATTTCTTCTGATTCCTTTTTTTTCACTTCCAATAGGTGGTTATGGCGGCCAAACGGTCGTTGTGAGAAGAGGATACGGTGAGTCATCTCATTTTTACAATTGTGTTTTGTGCAGTGTAGGTGCAGGATTCATGCTGAGAAAAATGTACATAAAATAATGAAGGGAAGAACAAGAAAACATTCGAAAGCGCCTAAGGCTTTTTCGTTATATTGCTTCTTCAGGGTGGGTTGCTATTCATACATGTACGTATATGTTTATATCTCATCAATCTATTTATCTATCTATACAGACAGAAACACACACATGTATATAAGATGCACCCCGCCACCACACACATACACACACACCAACACACACACACACACACACACACATACACACACACACGCACACACAAATCTAACCGGCCTTCTGTACCTCTGAAGGTGGCGGGTATGGTGGGTATGGTGGCCTCGGAGGCCTTGGCGGAATTGGCGGTTTCGGCGGCTATGGTGGCGGTTTCGGCGGCTATGGTGGGTATGGCGGTCTTTATGGTGGAGGCTATGGTGGCCTCGGAGGCTATGGCGGTTATGGCGTCGGATATGGTGAGTGGCATTCTGCTTCCGTTGAGAAAAAGTCGGCAAAACTTACTGTTTCTTTCAAGATTTGTGGCACCTTGTTCTTCTGTTGGTTACTGAGGGTATATAGTGCTCTACTATTACTGTTGCTGTCTTTATTATCATTATTACTATTATTATCATTGTTATTATTATTACCATTATCATCATAATTTTTATTATTATTATAATAATAATTATTATTATCATTATTTCTATTATCATTATTATCATCATCATCATCGCTATAATGGTAATAATAATAATAACGACGTTAATAATATATAATAATAATGAACATAATGGTGATAATAAAGATAATGAAATAACAATGATGGTATCTAGAAGCACTCAGATAGCATACCTCCGCCAAGGCAACAGGGTCACCGGTGCAATAAAGATATTCACCTCTTTTCCATCCGTGCTTCCTCTCTAATGAATCATTTAAAAAAATAATGGCATCTAGGTTTACTTTTGGTAAATTAATCATAAAAATCCCTTCATAACTTATTGGCTTATCCTGCTAACCAACTAACCAACAAACTAACCAAAAATATAACCATCGTGGCGGAAATGATGATTGTAATGAAAATGTTAATGTGTTATCATCAATATAATTGTCATCATCATTATCATTCTCAGTATTAGGATATTATCATTATCATTACTTTTACTATTGGTATTTTATTATTATTATTATTATTATTACTATTATTATTATTATTATCATTATTATTATTATCACTAGTATCATTATCGCTGATATTAATATTATTATTGTTATTACTATTGTTATCATCATTGTTTTATTGTCATTATTATCATTATTATCATCTAATGCTAATGGTAATGATAATGATCATTATCATTTATTATTATCATTATTATTATTATTATTATTATTGGTATTATTACCGTTATCATTATTATTATCTTTATAATTAACATTATCATCACTAATTTTATCATTATTCATGACTATTATTATCAATATTATTGTTATCATTATTATCATCGATATGTAGATTATGATTATGATTATTATCATTGTTATTATTATTATCATTATGAATGT